TCTGGTTTTCCCAATGCCATCCCTGTGTGCTGGGATCTCCTTGCTCCTCCTCCCCGCTGTCCCTGCATCTATTCCCCCTGTGCCCCCAGCTGGGTGTCCTGCAGCACTTCCTCCCTGCCCCCATCCTGCTTCCTCTCTAATCCTCACCCTTGCCCACTCCACATCCCTCATCCCTCCCTTCCCCAAGCTCTCATGTCCCTGCTGTGCCTCCTCCCCCTGCGGCTCTGTGTCCCCCAGCATTGTGCCCTACGCTGAAATAAATATGATTGTTCTGCTGCCCTCCTGCCCTCTCCTGGTTTCTTTCCCCTCAGCTGGGAGTTGCTGGGGGCTCTGCTCTTCCCACTGGGGGGGCATAGCGGAGGGTCTGGGGGTCTCTCACTCTCCCTGCACTTCCTATAGCATTGGGACTCCCCACCCTGAGATCCCAACACACCCAGGCAGAAACATGCAGCTTTATTCCCGGTTCTGTGTCACACCGCTGGCCTGGTATAGGAGATCCAGACGTCCTCCAGCTGGAGGTGGCCCTGCAGACCTGTACTCAGCCTGCCTGCAGGCTGCTCTGGGCCGTGGTTGGGGATGGCGTGGGGGGGGCCAGGGGGACAAGTCCCAGTTCAGCTCCTCTGGGCACAGATGTGGCCCCACGCTGATTACTTACCCCTTCCCCTCATCCCTCCTCTGCCCACTCCACACTCTTTACTCACCACTCCATCACACACTGCTGCTCCCTCCTCCCCCTGCGTTCACCCTCACACTCCCTGTGGTATCTGCATGGTTTTCATGCAGATACATGGCTGGAAACTGTCCCACTTTGGGTTGAGCCGTGTCTCCCCCCCATAGCGTACAGTGCTGCTCCAACCACATTTTGAAGGCAAACACTCAGCTTCCATAACCAACCATGCACTGAGGCTGAGCTGCCCACACCCCACATCCCAACTCGCTCCTCTACAAAGCATCTCCACTTTATTCCATGCAAATCCCAGAGCACCCCACGCTTCCCGTCCTGCAGCCGGGAGCAGAGCCAGCCACTGCTCCCCGCATCCCATCGCATCCCACTCCAGCTGCCCTATGGTTGTCAGCGCTGTAGCAGCCGGCTGTAGGGTCCACCGCAGGTCCTCAGCTCAGCGGGTGTCCCCATCTCGGCCACCGTGCCGTGCTCCAGCACCACAACGCGGTCAGCCTTCTCCAGCATCCATGGTTGGTGGGTGATGAGCAGCACCGTCCGGTCCCCCCCGTTCCGCACCCACTGCTGCAGCTGTAGGACGCACAGCTGCCCATCAGCACGCACTGTAGGGCCGGACCTTCCCCCCTGCACGCTGCTCAGTGCTCACCACCGCATCGCCGTCCCCATCCAGAGCGCTGGTGGCTTCATCGAGGATGAGGACGGTGGGACGCCGCACCAAAGCGCGGGCGATGGCGATGCGCTGCTTCTGCCCCGCCGACAGCTGCCCTCCTCTCTCCCCTACATCTGCAGGACGGCGTGGGGATGAGTGTGCTCAGACACCCGGGTCCCTCCCCCGCTCCCTGCACTCACCGGTGCTGAAGCCTTGCTCCAGGGCAGAGATGAACTCCAAAGCGCCCGCGGCCCTCGCAGCTGCTATGATGTCCTCCTCCTCGCAGTCCTCCATCCCATAGGCAATGTTATCCCGAATGGAGCCAGAGAAAAGCACGGGTTCCTGCCCTACCAGTGCCACCTGCCCCAAGGAAGATGCTGAGACCCAGCACCACTCGGTGTGGGCACAGCTCCCCCCTGCCCCTCACCTGGCGGTGCAGGTAGCGGTGCTCATAGTCCCGCAGCGGCACCCCGTCCAGCAGCACCTCCCCAGCCCTGGGCTCATAGAATCTCTCCAGCAGTGCCACGCAGGTGCTCTTCCCGCTGCCATTCAGCCCTGCCAACGCTGTCACCTCACCAGGGCGCAGCTCAAAGGTGACATCTTGCAGTACGAGGCACTCGGGGCGAGTGGGATAGGCGAAGGACACGCGATGGAAGGTGATGTGGCCCTGCAGCTTGGTGGGCACGTAGGTGCCACCAGTGCCCACAGCTCGCTCCTGGTCCAGGTAATCGAAGACCTTGCAGGCGGCCACCGCGTTGCTCAGAAGGTCACCATAGGAATACGCCAGCGCCTGCATGGCACAGCTGTGACCCCCAGGCACAACACCCACGGTGGGAACACGAGGACGTGGCCACAATCATGGGGATCCGGTGGCAGAGGACGCACTGCCCCCGACCTCACCTGCACACAACGGCCAGCCTTAGTCTGGTAGAGGATGAAGGCGACGAGGCTGCCAGCAGTGAGGGTCCCCTCGCGGAGCTGCTGGTGCCCACAGTACAGCACCAGAGCCTGCACGGCCAACTGCAGCGCCTGCAGGGATGGGGCTGAGCGGGGATGTCCCCATCCCACACAGACACCAGGATGTCTCCTCATGCCAGCCTCACCCGCTGGATGAGGAGAAAAATGGCCTTCTCTGTGTCCCGCTGGTCCCGCAGCTGCAGGGTCTTGTCCAGTGCCTGCCTGTAGCGGTGCTCCTCCTCCTCCTCACCATTGAAGACTCGTACTGTCTCAATGGAAGAGATGGACTCCTGCACTGCCGCTCCAGCGTCGGCCGCTGCATCCAGCACAGCCCGCTGCAGCAGCTGGGGGGAACAGTGGCTGTCAGCACGCATGGCATGGCCAAGTCCTCGCCATCCCACTCCCATTCCTGCCCTGCTGTTTTCTGCCATCTCATACTGGCTGTGCTGGACCCACGATCCCCATCCTGCTCTCCTGCTCTTCCCACTGTTCCCATCCCACTGCTGTTGTATCCATCCCTGCCACCCCGTCCCCACCATCCCAACCCCTGCCATCACCTGGTGCCGGGTGTTGTAGACTTTCCTCGCTGCGATGGCAAGTGGCACTTCGAGCAGCGCCAGCATCGTCAGGCGTGGGGACAGCCCCAGCATGAAGGCACAGAGCCCCAGCACCTGCCCCAGGTTCCTCAGCATGACGTTGATGTTGAGTGTAAACACGTTGCTTGCCAGCGTCACGTCGGTGGTCAGACGGGAGGCCAACTCAGCTGCGGGGTTGAACGGGGTGAGCTGGGGTATGGCGTGGGGACAGGGACAAAAGTGCCCCCCAGTCTGTACCTGCTGTGGTCTTCTGGAAGAAGGCGAGGTCCCAGTACACCAGGCTGGAGAAGAGCTGGTCACGGGTGCGCAAAACAGAGCGGAACCTGATGAAGGTGGAGAGACCACCACGGCAGCCGGCAAACAGAGAGCTGGGAAGGAATTGGGAGTTGAACTCAAAACCCATCAGGGGTCAGTGGAGAGCCCAGAACTCTTCAGACAATCACTAAGAGCCAACAAAGAGCCCCAAACCCATCAAACAACCACCGAAGGTCAATGGAGACCCCAAAACCCAGTAGGGTTGGAAGGGGTCTGGGAATGGAGACCCTAAAAGCCATCAGACAACAATGAGCAGTTGGTGGGTCTAGGGACAGAGGTGCCTAAATTCACTACACAATCAATAGGGGTTGGCCAAATCTGGGGATGAAGACCCCAGATGCTCTTAGATTACCACCAAGAGTGAATGGAGACCTCAAAAGCAATCAAATGACCACCAGGAATGGAAAGAGACCCTCAAGCCCATCTGATGGTGGATGAGATTTTGTGGAGGGATGTGGGGTCCCTACCTGCTGGCAGAGGCCAGGCACATGAGGCCAACAGCAGCGGTGAAGGCGGCGAGGCCGTCCCCATGGCGGAGGACATCCAGGGCCCTCCCGGTGCAGTAAGGCACTGAGGTCTCACCCAGCGCAGCCAAGGCGAGGAAGAGGAAGGCGCAGCTGAGGAAGGGCCACTCGGGCCAGGCGAGGGCCAGCAGCCGCCTCAGGGGCACCCAGGCCTCTGCCTCCTTCGCCCCCACAGCTACACTGGGGACCAGGAGGCTCCAGGTGAGCAATGCCACCACGGCTGTCCCGTGGGTCAGCACCAGCCAGGACGGCGTGGCTGTGGCCAGCAGCACCGGGGCGGCTCCAGGCAGCCCCACGTAGCCCCGTAGGGTCAGGAAGATGGCCGGGCCCAGACTCAGCAGCACCGCAGCCCCGTGAGGTCCACTGGGGGCCAGCAGCCGCCCGGCCCCCCCCCAGCACCAGAAGGCGCAGCCCAGCTTCCAGCCAGGAGCCCACCCGGCCCAATTGAGCCAGTGCTGGGAAGAAGTGGGCCAGGGCCAGCATGAGGGCCAGGTCGGCCAGGAGCAGCGTGCATGACAGGCACAGAACGTGGGGCTGCATCACCATGGCTGCGGGGTGGGGACCCCCAGAGCCTCTGATGCACAGCAGGACCAGGTGGGCTCCCCGGGGTGCTCCTGACGCGGGTTCTCAGCTCCCCTCAGCACCTGGAACACACAGCAGTGCTTTGAGAATGGCCCCCCGTTCCAGCCCGGCTCCCCACGGACCCGCCTGGCGCACACACCAGCAGCCACCGAACCCCTCCAGCCCCCTCCAGTGGCCACCAAACCCCTCCAGTCCCCACCCGTTCCCCGCCAGCCCCTCGACAGTCCCCACCAGTCCCCATCAGCCCCTACCAACCCCCTCCAGCCCCCTCCGGCCCCTCACCGCCGCCGCTCTCCATCCCCTCCCCGCTCCGCCGTTACTTTCATTTTCAATTTCCCCGCCCCTCTCCAAACTGCCGTGTTCCGACTTGCCTGGCAACTGATGATGCAACACCGCTTCGACCAATGAGCGGCGCCGCTGCTGCACGGCCTCAGCCAATGAGCGACGCTCTGGTTTCCGAGAAGCTGCGGCCGCTGCCGGGCATTGGGATCGAGGCCGGAGTGGGATCGGGGTCGCGACAGGAGCGATGGGCGCGGGTCGCCGCCTCCTCCTCTCGCTGAGCCCCGAGCGCCGGCGCTGCGCCGCGGTGATTGGTCTGATGGCGGCCTCGGCACTGGGTACGGGGCGGGGGGAGTGGGGGTGGGATCGGAGTGGGATTGGGGTTTGAATGAGGATGGGGTTGTAGTGGGGATGGGGGTAAGGGTGGGGATGGGGATGGGATAGGATGGGGATGGAGATAGCCATGGAATGGGGTGGGCAATGGGAATGGGGTTGGGATGGAATGGGAATGGTGTGGGTTTGGAACTGGGATTGGGTAGGAGGGGATGGGAATAGGGAAAGGAATGGGAACTGGGTCTGGGTTTGGGATGGGGATGGAATGGGGACTGAAGATGGGGTGGGAATGGGGATGTGATGGAGTGGGGATGGAGATGGGATTGGGGTGGGGTGGGGGGGTGCAGCCAACTGGAGAGCAGCACTTTGGGGGTTCCCCTCTGAGATTTGGGGGTGCAGCACCAAACTGGGGGTGCAGCACAGAACTTCCAGGGCACCGTCCCTTGGGGGGTCCCCGTGCCCTGACCCTGCTGCGGTGACAGGCGAGATGGCTGTGCCCTACTACATGGGACATGCCAGCGACTGGGTGGCCCGCGAGGACGAGCTGGCGGCCATCCTACCCATGGTGCTGCTGGGCCTCAGCAGGTATTGGCACGGGGGGGGGCCACGGTGCGGGCAGAGGGCAGCACGGGATCCCCTGACACCTCACTGCCACCATAGTGCTGTCACTGAGCTGGTGTGCGATGTGACCTTCGTGGGGACGCTGAGCCGCACACAGAGCCGCCTGCAGCGCCGTGTCTTCGCTGCCGTCCTGCGGCAGGACATCGCCGAGCTGCGTGCCAACGGGGCCGGTGAGGGGCACCGGGCTGGGAGGGGACATGGGGATAAGTTCAGGTGGCACTGACGGTGCTGTCACCCGGCAGGGGATGTGGCCACGCGGGTGACACGGGACGCGGAGGATGTGCGCGAGGCGCTGGGCCAGGCGCTGAGCCTCCTGCTCTGGTATCTGGCACGCGGCGTCTGCCTCTTCGCCACCATGGCCTGGCTGTCCCCGCGCATGGCGCTGCTCACCGCGCTGGCGCTGCCGCTGCTGCTGGCCCTGCCCAGGGCTGTGGGGCACTTCAGGCAGGTATGGGCTGCTGTCTGCACCTCCACGTGCCTTTGGTCACCACCACTTGCCCATTGTACCATTCATGTGCCCGGTGTCACCATCACATACTCATTGTCCTCTCCATGTGCCCATTGTCCTCTCCATGTACCCACCATCCTCCTGCCTGTTGTCCCCTCTGTGTGACCATTGTCCCTCCACGTGCCCCCCTGCCCGTTCCATGTGTCCGCTATCCCTGCCATGTGCTCACTATTCCTTATGTGTGACTGTTGTCTCCTCCACATCAGTACTGTCCTCTGCACATCCCCACCTCTGCGCGCCCACCATCCCCTTTAGGTCCCCTCCATCCTTTTCATTCTACCACCATTCATGCACTGTCCCCTCCCCAGCCCCCATTCCCCTTCCACCCGCCCTGCAGTGACACTGCTGTCCCCAGGCCCTGGCACCACAGATGCAGAAGGCGCAGGCCCGGGCCAGCGAGGTGGCAGTGGAGACTTTCCAAGCCATGGCCACCGTGCGCAGCTTCGCCAACGAGGACGGGGCGGCTGCGCACTACCGGCAGCGCCTGCAGCAGAGCCACCGCCTGGAGAAGAAGGATGTGGCCCTCTACACCGTCTCTGTGTGGACCAGCGGTGTATGGGATGGAGTGGCTCAATAGCACGGGGATTTGATGGGATGGGGTTGGGGGACGTGGGGATGTGATGGCATTGAGATGTCAGGAGATGGAGACAGCATGCTGAGGGGCTGGGAGCCATAATGGCACAGGGGTGGCAGGGGATATGATGGCATGGGGACTGTGGGATGTGGATATGATGGCACAGGGACATCTGGATGTGGCAGGCACAACATTGACAGCATGGGGAGATGACAGAGTGGGGCTGGGAACTTGGTGTCCCATGGGGAGGTGTCCCCTGGTGACTTCATGGCATCCTCAGTTCTCAGCGTTGGCCCTGAAGGTGGGGATCCTCTACTATGGGGGGCAGCTGGTGGCTGCAGGGACCGTCAGCACTGGGGACCTTGTCACCTTCCTCCTCTACCAGATGCAGTTCACTGATGTTGTGGAGGTGAGCCAGAGGGGATGCCCACGTCCCCGTGTCCCCATGTCCCCCCGCCACATCCCCTTGCCCTCCTGGCTGTATCACCGCGCTGTCCCCAGGTCCTGCTCCGCTATTACCCCACACTGACAAAGGCTGTGGGCTCTTCGGAGAAGATCTTTGAGTTCCTGGACCGGGAGCCACAGGTTGCACCCTCGGGGACAATGGCACCCAGTGACCTGCAGGGCCACCTCCAGCTGGAGGACGTCTGGTTCTCCTACCCTGGACGCCAGGAGCCCGTCCTCAAGGTGGGCACAGGGGACATGGGGACGTGGTGGGACAGTGTGACAGGTGTGGGGACACAGTGGTGTAATACAGGGGCACAGGAACATGATGGTCAGGGCGTGAGGATATGAAACAAGGAGATACACAAGGAGATACAACAAGGATGGTATGGGGGTGTCGCAGAGGAACACGAGGACGTGGCATTGAGGGCGCAGGGACATGGCACATGGTGGGGATGTGGCACGGGGACATGATGAGTGACACAGAGACATGGTGGGGAGGGCATGGTGTGTAGATGTGATAGCAGAGGTGTGGAAACAAAACGAGATCGGGGGGGGGGGGGGGGGAACAGGGACAGAAGGACACAGCAGGAAGGCCTTGGGGCCATGAAGGGGTGGGTACAGGGACACCATGGGTGTGACATCTGTGTCCCCAGGGCGTATCGCTGGAGCTGCGCCCAGGGGAGGTGCTGGCGCTGCTGGGACCCCCGGGTGCAGGGAAGAGCACTCTGGTGGCCCTCGTGTCACGCCTGCACCAGCCCACGGCCGGGCGCCTGCTGCTGGATGGCCACCCCCTCCCCAGCTACCAGCACTCCTACCTGTGCCGCCAGGTGAGTCACTGCATGTCCCCATGGCTCCTGGTTGTCCCCGTGGGTCACCAAGCGTCACTGCACATCAGCAGGCATCCTCGTTGGGTCACCAGACGTCTGGGTCCCCAGCCATCACCATCGTGTTCCCCAGTGTCCCAGCCAAGTCCCCAGCCATCCTTGCTGTGTCCCCAGCCATGTCCTCAGGTGTCCCTGATACATCCCCAGCCATCCCCATCACCTCCACTGCTGCATCCCCGCCGTGTCCCCACTGTTCCTCCCACTGCAGGTGGCTGTGGTCCCCCAGGAGCCGCTGCTCTTTGCCCGCTCGCTCCATGCCAACATCTCCTATGGGTTGGGGTGCTGCAGCCGGGCGCAGGTGACAGCAGCTGCCCGCAAGGTGGGAGCCCACAACTTCATCACCCGCCTTCCCCAAGGCTACGACACAGGTACGGTGTCCCTGCTCCATTTCGTGCCCCCTGTAGGGTTCCCTCCCATCCTGACCCCCTATCCCCGCAGAGGTGGGCGAGTTGGGAGGACAGCTCTCCGGGGGGCAGCGGCAGGCGGTGGCCATTGCCCGTGCGCTGCTGCGGGACCCCCGCATCCTCATCCTCGACGAGCATAGCAGCGCCCTGGACACTGAGTGCCAGCAGCAGGTGGGATGTCCCCCATGTCCTCCATGTCCCCACATCCCCCTCAGCCCTGCGTTACCTCAGTCTGCACTCCGTTCCCCTTGGTCCCCACTCCCGGAGGCCTTCAGTCCCTAGCTGTGGCTGGGGATGTCCCACTGACCAGTTCTCCTCCCATAGGTGGAACAGGAGATCCTTGCAGCCAGAGGGTCGGGGCGTGCAGTGCTGATGGTGACGGGCCGGGCAGCCCTGGCAGCACGGGCACAGCGGGTGGCTGTGCTGGATGGGGGAGAGGTGCGCCAGCAGGGACCCCCCCCACGAGGTGCTGCACCCCGGAAGCCCCACGTGGCACCTGCTGCAGGACTGGGGACAACAGGGAGCACCAGGGGAGGGGAACAGAGGGAGTGGGGATGAGGGATAGCAGGAGTTATGGATGGGGACGGCAGGGGGAGGTGGGATGGGGACACTGAGCATTGGGACTGAGAATGGGGACACTGGGGGTGGAGGTGGGGACACCAGGACAGCGACAAGGGACCACAAGAGCTGTGCCATGGACACACGGATGCTGAGCCGGGCGCACTGCCATATCATTGCTGTATGACACACAACGGCCACTGCACAGACAGCAGTGTCACTGAGTGCCAGCAGGCCGGGGGTGTGACACAGAACTGGGAATAAAGCTGCATGTTTGTACCCAGGGGTGTTGTGTTGGGATCTCATGGTGGAGAATCCTGGGGCTATAGGAAGTGCAGGGAGAGTGAGGGTCCCCCAGACTCCCCACGCCCTCAGTGGAATAATCAGAGCCCCCAACAACGCCCAGACAGGGGGAAAGAAACCAGGAGAGGGCTGGAGGGCAGCAGAACAACCAAATTTATTTGAGTGTAGGGTACAATGTGGGGAGTACACAGAACCCCAGGGAGAGGGGCACAGCAGGGACACAAATTTGGGGAAGGGAGGGATGAGGGATGCGGAGTGAGCAAGGGTGAGGATTAGAGAGGCAGCAGGATGGGGGCAGGGAAGAAATACTGCAGGACACCCAGCTGGGGGCACAGGGGGAATAGATGCAGGGACAGCGGGGAGGGGGAGCAAGGAGATCCCAGCACACAGGGATGGCATTGGGAAAACCAGA